CATAGCGACCCAGAACAGGGTTTCCAAGGATGTAAATCTTTACAGGAGCAGAAAGCCTCATCTTTCTCCCACGGAACAGCTGGTAGTTTCGAACTGCTGACCTTGTGGTTCGCAGCCCGATTCATAACCACTACGCTACCAGAGCTCCTTGCAAATATGACGTTAGGAGTCTTGAAATTGAAATGACTCTGAGGGAGAGACAGAGAGGTTAGTCTAGGTAGGGCACCAATTGGTACAGGTATGTGAGGGCTTCATTCAGAGAGGGACCGGACCAGGATCAGGGTCTGGGGAGCAGAAGCAAGCCATAAGGACGTCCCTAATACAGAGCTCAGGAGACTGGGGTGGGAGTGGGGGCAAATACACACGTAAGTCTCTAGTAATGTTTGTTGGGAAAAAGGGGAGAGAAAGGAGAGGAGAGACTCAAAGGCTGAGGTGGGAGCTATTGAAGACTGTAGAGAGAAGATAATGCCATCTATCAAGAGATCTAATCCCTGAGCAGCCTCTTCGAGATAAGAAGGAAGAGTTCGCTTTTCTTTTTCTAGTTTGTTAATGTAGAAGGCTAAGTCATTTATTTGCGATCTTTCTTCTTTTTTAATGTAGGCAGTTAGAGATATAATCTTGTTTTCAGTCATCATATGCCCCTGCTAGGCTTGGCTGGGGCAGGCACGAAGTAATCAGATTGATGGGCAACAGAGGGCAGTGACTGGAGAGATGAGGAAGCCCGCAGTAGGGGCAGGGTGAGGGCCGGGCTGGGGGAGGGGGGTAGGACTAATAGCCAGGCCAGTGGGGATTGGGGGTGAGAAGGAAGGGAGGAAACACCTTCTTAAAGTGGCTATAAGTGGGGAGTGGAAGGGGAAAGGAAGCTTTAAGACAAGCAGAGACACACCCACTATCACAGCCCCGACCAACCCCAGGAGAGGCTCTGGCTGCCTTGGGTCACTCACCAGGGACTTGGACTCTTGCTGGCTCCTCACACACCGTGGGCAGCGTCTGCTCCCAGGAGGCCCAGTTCACTTCTTCCACCCTGAGTGTGCACACAGCAACTCTGAGGCTCCGAAAGTCAAGGAGCCAACCCTGCTTTGTCCTAGGAAAGGGGCCCAGGGCCCTAAGGGGGCAGACTGTGTAGAGGCTCTGGTGGGCATGGTGAGGCAGGACAGCTTCACTGCCTTTCCCTGCAGGGCCCTGGGCCACCCCATCTTACCTGGAGTACCCCCTACCCACTTCACTCACCTGAAGAACCAGCGCTCATCAGGGATACCTTCTGGCGTGGTACCCACCGTCAGCTTAACCCCTGCCTGCTGCTTCTTCTGCCGGCACCACCAGTAACCATTCTCCATCTCTAAGACAGAGATGGCTTTCTGGGGGGAAAGGAAGCATCAGCTAGGGAAGCTTGGGACCCTCTCTGGAGGAAGGGGGATGCACGGGGCAAGGGGAGCAGCATGGTGTACTTTACAGTATAACCTGAGTCTGATATAACCATGTGGGTTTGAACCTCAGCTCCAATATTAGCTTACTGGCGTTGGCCTCTGACCCTTGCTGACCTGCATTCTCTTTGCTTATGTAGAAGGAGGACAGCACACATAGAGCAAGTGTTCAGTGATGACTTGCTACTGCTATCACATTCTTACAGCTTCTAGAATCCTGTAAGATCGGGGGACAGATTTGTGCAATCCATGCAAGTGCCTTTGGATTCACATACAGTGGCTTAGGAGGCTCACGGGAGGTAAGGGACTTGCCCTAGGGTCAACAATTAATTAGTAACAAAGCCAGCACACCAGGCAAGATTTTCTGCTTCCCACTGGCCCCAGCCCCCACTCTGACACTTCTCCAGTCAAGAAGCTGTTGCAGTATATATTCCTAAGTATTTTTGTATATATCCCCAAACAAACAAACAAACAAAACACAGGAATAGAAGTAAATACTGTTGAATGATAATGCACGGAGGAGACTATAATCATTGCAATGAAATGATGAGTGTAAAAACTGATGTTCTCCCATGTAAACTATCACTTAATTCACCATAAAAACCTATTTTAAAACAAGAAGCGGTTGTTTCCATGGTAGGTGGATACTATAGATTTAAATATGTCTCCCAAAGACCTTCCCCCAGAGCTGACAGAAAGCCTACCCCTGGAGCTGGTGCCCTGAATTTGGACTGCTAGGCTCCTAAACTGTCAGAGAATACGTTTCTGTTTGCTCAAACCGTCCACTTGTGGGTTTTCGGTTACTTGTAGGTAATTAAGACAGTGGATGTCATATCAGCCCCTTTAGTTACAGAGGACCCTGTCCTCCTCACCTAACCCCCTTAGACTGGACCAGCCCGGGATGTCATACCCCCATCAAACCAAGCCCATGTTACATACAGGGGAACAGAATAAAGTTCCAGAAGGACAGGCACTAAGTCTTCAGCACGTTAGCACTGCCAGTAGCGGGGACTCCACCAACACTTGATACTAATGATGTTGATAATAATAGCGACACACTGACCACCTCCTCCACACTTAGCACTGTCCAAAGCACTTTACATCTGTGTGTAGCCAATCCTCACAACAACCTTATAAAGGAATAAATGGATGAGGAAGACCAAGAACGCAACACACACGCAGATGGACCAGCTCGGTGGGCCCTTGGGGAGGAGGGGAAAGGTGGCACCTGCAGCTTCCAGATGCTCCAGCTGTCATTGGCGACGTTGTTGACGGTCTCACTCATGAGGGCGATGAGCATGTTGAGCAGTAAGATGTAGGTAAGCAGCACATAAGCCAGTAATAGCAGCAGCACCACCCCACGGAAGCGCAGCTGCTCCTGGAAGGCCAGATCGCCCATGCCGATGGTGAACTTGAAGAGCTCCAAGGAAGCATCCAGGATGCCCCCATATGGGGCCGTGCCACCCTCATCCTCCGCTCCCATCTTTCCTTGCACCGCATCTGTGGCATTGAGGCCAGTGGGGGCCTCTGAGCCCCAGGTCTCCCTGCTCAGGCTCACCAGGGCTGCAGGAGGGAGACAGGAGCTTCCTTAGCCTGGGTACAGGATGCACAAGGGGTAGACTGGGGTGGGGGGGGGTGGCCAGAGGGTGGGGAGCTTACCTACAGCAAAGCCAAAAAGGAAGACAAAGTAGACCAGAAGAAAGCGGAGCAGGTCCCTCAGGATGACCTGAAATACATGTACCCAGGAGCTGAAATGGGTGGCTGAGCCGCCAGCAATGGGCACCCATGCACACCTCACACACACATCCATACACACACAGTATGTGTACAAAGGGATCTCTTAAATATCCACATCAGAGCCCATCATTCTGCTCTGTTGCTGTTGCAAAGTGCTGTCGAGTTGGTTCCAACTTATAACTATCCTGCATAGGGTTTCCAAGGACCTCCCACCTTGCAGTTAGTAGTCCAGTGCTTATCTTACAGCGCCACACCACTCCTCATTCTGCTTAAAACCCTCCCAAACCAGGAGCCATGAGGTTGACTCCAACTTACAGAGACCCCATGCGTCAGAGAGAAACTAAGCTATGCTCACTCCATCAGGTTTTCAGAGGCTGATTCGTTGGAAGCAGATCGCAGGTCTCTTTTCCAAGGCACCTGTCGTGCTATTGTTGCATGACACTGAATCAGTTCTGACTCATAGTGACTCAGTATAAGGTTTCTGAGGAGCGGCTGGTGGGTTTGAACTATAGATCTTGCAGTTAACTATTCAGTGTTTACCCTACAGCACCACACCCGGACTCCACTCTTTCGGTTAGCAGTTGAGTGTTTAGCTATTTACACCAAATCCCCCTGAGCCCCTACCTTCCTCCTCAACTTCCTTTCTGCCCTCTTCTCTCCCTCACACTACTCCAGCTGCCCCAGCCTACTCTGTCCCCAAGCAAGACCTGTCTCTGTTCTTTGTTCTTGTATGAAGCACTCTGACCTTAGCTCTGTGATGGCTGAATCAGTCTTTTGGGTCTTAACTTAAATGTCCCCTCTTAAGAGAGACCTTCCCAGCCCATTACAGCTAAAACACCCTGTCCCATTTATTCTGCATCCCACGGTCCTATATATTTCCTTCATTGAATTTAGCAGTCTAGAATTTTGTCATTTGCTTTGTGTTCTTATCTCCCCACTACAATGTCCTTCGGAGACTAAGCCTTGTCTATTTTGTCCACTGACAGATTCCCAAGCCTGAGAACAGTAGTGCCACATAGTTGTTGTTGTTAAGTGTTGTTGAGTCAGTTCTGACTCACAGCGACCCTGTATAGGGTTTCCGAAGATGTAAATCTTTACTGGAGCAGAATGCCTCATCTTTCTCCCGCGGAACTGCTGGTAGTTTCGACTTTAAGGTTAGCAGCCCGACTCGTACACTACCAGAGCTCCTTAGTGCCACATAGTAGGTACTCCCTAAATATTTGTTGAATAAACAAATAAATACCCATATGTCTCAGGGCACAGACACACCAACGGGCATATGTGTATATCCTCTGATTCAAAGTGTGCAAGGATGCACACATCCTATGTGAACACTGGCATGTATGATTGCATGCATATGTGTGCAGCCTCACAGGGAATGGATGGATGGATGGATGGATGGTACCCAGACAGAGCAGCCCAGGCTCTCCTCTGCCCAGGTTAGCTCTGTGGCCACACCAAGCCACACCACCCTCTCACCTTCTGGATCATGACACTGTAGATGCCTGTGTGCTGGAAGCCACGTGTATAGTATAGCAGGTTCAGCCAGCCCAACACCAGTGAGGACACAAGCAGGGGCAGATACCACTCAATGGTCAGGAGACACAGCACCTGAGACACCACTGTGAGCAGGGCCTGGAGCAGGCTGCATGGGAGAGGGTCGGGGTCAGTGTCTAAGCACCTTCCAGGCACCCAGCCCCAAGTCTGACAGTGCTCAGATGACTTGGGCAGTTTTCCATGAGCAGAGGAGCTAGGTGTAGGGACACCAAAGTCCATCTAAGATTAGGCCCATGCATCTTGGACAAGGTATTTAACCTCTGTGGGCCTCAGTTCCCTCCCCTCTACAATGGGCATAATGGTAACAATAGTTCCTAACTCACACTGTTTGTGAGGATTAAATAAGATAATACAAGTAAAGGCTTCTGTTCTACCCTGTCTAGTGGTTGGTTGGTTGGTTATAAGCCGTGGAGTTGGAACCGATTCATAGCGACCCTGTACAGGGTTTCCAAGGCTATAAATCTTTACGGGAGCAGAAAGCCTCATCTGTCTCCCACAGAACAGCTGGTAGTTTCAAACTGCTGACCTTAAGGTTCCCAGCCCGATTTGTAACCACTATACTACCAGAGTTCCTTACCCTGTCTAGTAAGTATCAACAAATGTAAACATTGTGGTTGTAATCCACAAGAGTGGGACCATAGGAGCCCCAGAAGAGATGGTAACCCAGGCTTCTAGTCCTAATGCCCTGGTTCCTGTGTCCTCGCCTCTAAAGGAGCCTGGTGCTTTGGGCCACACCCGCCTCTTCCAGCCATTGGTGACAGTGGGTGAGGAGGGGTGAGGCTTCACATACAAGAGGATCTCGAAGTAGCTGTCCATGAAAGAGATCCAGATGAAAACGCGGCGTCTCCAGAAGTACCACAGCTGCAGAGGGTGGTGGGGAGGACAAAGGAGTATGAACATGTATGTGTTCAGTCCCCAGGGTCCCCACCCTCACCACGTTCCCTACCTACAGACTGAGGGGCTGCCAGCCTGGCTGTGTGGGGTACCCCCAGCTAGGACCCCTTTGTGGGTTGCAGCTTTGACTTTTGCAAGGCACATAAATGTTTCTGATAAACTGACAAAGCTCTGGGCCCTCTTCCCACAGACACCCAGACAATGCCAGGGCCTCCTTGCTCCCTGCCGGATCCAGAATAAGAGCCCCACTAGATAGGATGAGAAGGGGTGTTCTTTCCATTTCCCCTTCCTGGCTTCACATCCTCTACAGTAGCAGACTGGATGCGTTCTACCCACTCAATGACATGGTGGTCACTCTGTCTCCTGTAAACTTTTTGACGGAAAAGGCCCTGCTGGGAGAGGTGGGGTGGGTCCCCTGAGCCTCCTGTGCTCCTCAAGTGGGGAGTGCCCCACAGCGGGACATAAGGAAGTGGCTTCTAGCTTGAGTTCCAGCAGGACAGAGGCAGCACTACCAAAGGACCACAGATGAAGCCAATGGCTACAGAAATCCAGCAGGGAGGGAGGCCAGCCAACATCCACATACCTCAACAGCAGGGAGCTTGGTCTGGGTGCTACTGGGCATGGGTAGATGAGGGATTGTGGGAAATTTGCTCCAATAGCAGAATCCTAGTTTATTTCTTGGTGGGCTGGGTGCCACATAGGCTGAGAGAAGGAAGAGAGGGTGGGGCGGAAGAAATCTCACCTGGCCCAAGAGGAGGTACAGCCCCCCAAGCAGGATTACGATGTGGCCCAGTAACAGCATGGAGTTTCCAGCCGTTGCTTTCAGGGAGCGGAAGGTCTGCTAAAGAGATGTTCAGATAGGTCGGAGGCTATGGGTCCTCTCCCCTACAGCTCACCCTGTGGGAGTCAGATCCAAGGGGCCCATTCCAGTCAGAGCACTAGAAGGAACACAGGCTCCGTGGCCAGAAGCCTGGATTCCAGTCTGTGGAGAGGCACTTTGTGTAGTGTTTATGAGGATGAGGTCTAGGGCCATACTGCCCAGTTTAAGTGCCTTCTCCACCTCTCGCAAGCTGCACTAGCCTGAATTAAATTACTTCATCTCTTTGTGCTTCCCTTTTCTCAACTGTAAGCTGGGAGGTGCTAACAGTGCATTATCTCACAGCATTGTTAAGAAAATGAAACACGTTACCAGTATCAGTTTCCAATGACTCAGCTCAGACTCAGAATGATTCCATGTGTGCCAGAATAGAAGTGTGTCTGTCGGGTTTTCAGTGTCTGATTTTTCCAAAAGTAAATTGTTTGATCTTTCTTCTGAAGCATCTCTAAGTGGACTTGAACCTCTAACCTTTCAGTTAGTAACTGAGCACACAGAATGTCTGCAGTGCCCATGAAATAAATTGTTGTTGTTGTTAAGTGCCTTCGAGTCAGTTCAAACTCATAGCAACCCTGTATATGATTTCCAAGGAGCAGCTGGTAAGTTTGAGCAGCTGACCTTGTGGTCCAAACCAACCTTGCAGTCCAGCGCATTAACCCATAGTGCCACACCATTAACACATGTAATTCACTTAGAATGCTTTCTCGTATGTGCTGCGTATTCAACGAGCGTTGTACAAACTATTCGGATTGTTACTCCTATAATGGGGCTAGCTTCCATACTGTTACTCGCTATGGAAGATCCTGGGCCAGTCACTCTCTCACACTAAGTAGGATGGGGATAGTAACCTTTGCTCTATCTTTCTCCAGAATTTTTTTCCCAGGAGGCCTTCCCCAGGACGTGCCTCCTCCCCAAGGCCTTACCTTTTCCAGAGCAGGTTGATGGTAGGCCACAGCAGTAAAGATGACCATGTAGACCAAGTAACACAGGAAGTTGAAATAGAACTTGGGGGTGAGCAGATCCCATTTCGCCTGCAGCAGTTTGTTCAGAGGCTCCAAAACTACCATTCGGTGTCGATGCTGTGGTGGGAGCAGGAGAGCGGTGGGTATACTCAGCAAGGATACGTAAGGTGCCCAGTAAGGTGCCCAAATCATGGCGGGATTAATGCAAGGCAGAGGGAAATGGAAGGGAGGGTGGGGAGCAGGCTCCCACACTCCCAGGAGCCCTGAATAACACCTCACCACTCCCTGCACTTCAGCCCCATTGGCTAGAAAGTGACCACAGGCCACACTTTCCACTCCAGAGCATTTATATAGCAGGTGCTGGTCAACTGGAGGCCCACGGTGACCCTGGCATGACCGCTGATGGTTGGAACTAGAGTGTGGAATGAGTGTGAGCCCATTTAGAAGTGTAGCCACATGCCCATGGCACAGGGAGAGAGCCAATGTGGTCCATTTGTCAGCCCTGGACTGTGGTCCTGGCTGGGATCTCTGCCTGGCTCCGTGCCCACACCCACAGCCCCTGCAGACTCACTGGGCTTCTGCAATGGAAGGCGATGATCTCCAGCACTGAGTTCTCCTCCCAGCTGTCCACAGAAGCCAGGTCGTACAGTGACACCCGGACAGGCCCATAGCACCACTCAGTGAACTTGCGGGAAAGGGACTGGCATGGCCCGGAGAACTCCCGCTGCAGGATGTGTCTGAAAATCTACAGGACAAACTGTCTGAGCCTGGTTGGACCACCTCTCAGCACTGACACTGAGTGCCCTGAAGAACTAGCTGCCCACTAACTGCAGAGCTCCAACAGACTCACACACACTCCAGAGACATGTGTCCCTAGATGTATAAACTCTCACATGCCCATTGTGTCTTTCCTGGGCTCCTCAGATGGCAAGGACATGCCTGGCCCAGGGGTCCTCAAGTCCCTCATGATCAGAGGCTCTCAAATGTGCACATGTGTATACATCTGTGCTCCGAGTCCAGAGCTGTCAGCAGATGTAGAAAGCAGTATCTAACCTCAACAAGTTAAGAAACAACTGAAATTTGCAAATGAAGACAGTGGTTTAGAAGGTCTAACTTGGAAATGGTTTAAGTAGCCCATGAAGCCACACCTCTAGACAACTAAGTGGAGTCCACACATCCCATGAAGTGCTTTGGAAATTGGGGATCAAGAGTAAAATATGAAAACTTTCTTATATGCTTATTTCTTATCTTAATTTTTTTAATTACCTTATTTCATGATGTGACATAGCAGTTCAGTAGTACGTATGTAATTTATAAATAAAGAAATCTATTGGTGGTTAGTGGTGTCTGCTAAAAATAGTCTTAAAAATTAAAAACCATATGCTGTCAGATCAATTCTGACTCCTGCTGACCCTGAGTGTGTCAGAGAACTGCTCTCCATGGGGTTTTCAGTGGCTGAGGTTTTCAAAGCAGATTACCAGACCTTTCTTCCCACAAAGCTCTGAGTGGATTTGGACTTCCAACCTGTCATTGGCATATCAACTGTTTACACCACTCAGGGGACTCCTGCTTATAATAAAGAAACCAAACCCACTTCATCAAATTGATTCCAACCCACAGTGGCCCTACCTAAGGTTTCCAAGACTGTAAAATCTCTACCGGAACAGACAGTCTCATCTTCCTCCTACAGAGCAACTGGTGGGTTTGAACTGCCAACCAAGCAGTTAACCGACCAAGCAGTTAATGGCTCAATGCCACTGCCTGGGTTACCTCATATAGGTGTATTTAATAAAAAAAAATGTAGAGCCCACTGCCCTAAGCCACTCCCCCTCACACTTTCTGCAGAAATCCCAGGACAGATGGCAATGGGCAGAGGGGTGGCCACTCACCTCGATTTTGCCCTCCTTGGCGGCCAGTTTCAGAGGAGTGAGGCCCTGCTTGTTGGCAATGTTCTCCAGCTGCACGGAGGGGCAGTGGCGGATGCCAGCCTGCAGGAGCGCGTCGTACATGCGGATCACCAGTGCACTGTTCTCCGCTGAGTTGTCAGCAATCATCACCAGGGCATGCAGCACAGTGTTGCCCAGAGAGTCAGCGGCCTGCAGGCTGGCCTGCCGGTACGGGTTCTCCAGGAGGTAGGTTACCACGTCCCACTGTTTGGTACACGCAGCCAGAGAGAGGGGCAGCTCGCCTGGGGGCAAAGGAGCGGCTAGAGGTTGCCCCTTTACACCTGTCTACTCATCTTCCTCTGAGCAGAAGGCCATGCCGCCAGGAACCAACCATGGCACCCACGGGACAGGAGGTAGCATTACCTCAGGGCTGGGGCTGGGGAGCTTGACCCATCCCGACCTACATGGTGCTACTCTGGGTAGGTACCCCCTCTTCCTAGGAGCATAGGTGGATACAGCTGTCTCGTATTCTAACCCGTGTGCAAGCCTCCTTGGCCAGATGAGCATAAAATAGCTCTTAAGACAAATCACTTTAAGTAAGATGACAAACTGGGCAGATACACTACATGAGAGACCAAATGAAACAGACACATGAAAATCCTGGAACTCTTAACTTCTGAAGAGAGGTCAGACAAATGGACTAAGTGCTGGCTGGGAGGAGAAGCTGAACTGGGATGGTGAGAGAAGGAGACTGGTGAACGTGGCCATCGTGAACTTTCATGAGCAGCTTTGGGGATAGATGGTGGTCTGGCAGCGCAGATTCACACAGGCAACGGGAAAGGTGCGATTCCTTCTTTTTCCCCCCATTCCCCTGATGACCAGAGGTGTGACCAGCACCCTCACCCACACTCAGTGTAGACTCTGCCACTTGGTTGGGAGCCACACCAGTGTGAGGCAGGGGTCAGCTGCTCATTTTGGTGCCTGGATTCAGGCAGGCTCAGATCTAGACCTACAGAACCCACAGATAGATCAGTATTAGTGTAGCAGAAACTCTCATAAACAGCCACGCTACTCCCAGCTGCCCTGCAGTCCTAACAGATGTGGAAATAGCTGCACCAAGGTCTTCCACAAACTACAAACTACGTCCAGATTGAGTGCCCTGAACACAGGTAACAGGTAGGGCTATCTAAACTCTAGATGGGGCCAGAAACTCCACTGTCACCCACCTCATGATCTCCTTGGCTGTTGTTGTTATATGCCATGGAGTCGGTTCTGACTCATAGTGACCCTACACAGGGTTTCTGCCTCATCTTTCTCCTGAGGAACTGCTGGTAGTTTCAAACTGCTGACCTTGCAGCTCGCAGCCCAATTCGTAACCACTACGCTACCAGAGCTCCTTGGCTGGCAGGGGCCAAAAGTTGCACTGGTTTTAGTTTTGGTTTGGTTTGGTTTTTTTCCCTTTTTGTGTTCCATTGTTTCAGTTTGTTTATTTATTCTTCTCTAATTTTGTTTTTCTTTCTTTTCTTCTCATATCTGCTCTTCTTTTTTTCCCCCTTTTGATTTTTCTGTACTCCTAGTCTCTAGTCTCTTTCTATGTTCATCTTCCTCTCTCTGATTACTTTAATTAAAAAAAAAATTCTTTCTTTTATTTTCTATCTTCTTTTTTTCACAAAAGGAAAATATTTTATGAGATCACTGTTGTAAAAAAGTTAAGAAAAGGTTTTCTTGATAATAGAAACATCCTATGATTATTACAGGAGGAGGGAAGGGAAAATTATTCATGGGCTAGACACATGTAAAAATGGGTGATGGGACAGGCGTTATGCAATAAGCGGGAGGTTGGCAGAGGAAAGATGAACGTAGCGGGAGGCACAGGAAGGAATGCAATAGTTAAAGTGAACAGAGGTAAAAACACTGTTAACTGGCAGTACATGGAGGGATTACAATCACTGTGATGAAACAAATTACATGATTTGTTGAGTGTAAAGCTGATGATCTGCTCTGTAAACCTTTACTCAATTCACAATTATAAGTTACAAACACACACACAAAAACCAAAAAACAAAATCACTTTTGCAGGCAGGCAGGTAAATCAAAACATGGGCATTAATGTCAGATAGACCTGGATTTAAGGGCCAGCTCTGCCACATTCCAACTGTGAGGCCTTAGGCAAGACCCTCAACCCCTCTACACATCAATTTATCCAGGAAAGTTGTTGTTAAATGCCTTCGAGTCAGTTCTGACCCATAGCCACCCTGTATAGGGTTTCCAAGGAGCTCCTGGTGAGCGTGAACCACCGACTTTGCAATTCAAACCGACCTTACAATCCAGTGCATTAACCCACAGCGCCACACCGTGACGCCATCCAGGAAAGCAGTGCTCACCAAAATAGAAGCAAGCCCCTTGGCTCCTCTTCTGGAAGAAGTGGCCACAGGCCCGGGCATGCACGTCTGCCCCATTCTCTACCAGAAGCTTCACACACGGCAGGCTTCGCTTCTCGATGGCGATGTGCAGGGCACTGTGGCCTCGGTAGTAGTCATCCGTGCACTGGGCGTTGACAAGGGGCTTGCTATTGCCAGAGTCATGGTCAATCTGCAGCAGCGGCAGGATGCAGGCATTGGTGCCTTCACGAAGGTTCAGCACAGCCTTCATTAGACATGTCTTCCCTGTGGAGCCCTCTGTGGAAGAAAGGAGGCATGGGGGTGCAGGGATGTCCAGACCTGGAGCCTCTGAACTGCCCACCTCAGCTTCCTAAAGTTCCCCTTGGGATGATCAAAAAAGGTTGCTACGCACCACCGGGTGGAACCTGGGTTGATAAAATTGTGCTGAAGGGTTTTGAAACTCCAGCTAACAAGTATTAAAACATCAACAAATATTCAAAATGACTACAGATTCTGCTCTAGAAACCAAGTTTCTAAGACATAATTTGTTGTATGTGTAGAGTTGTGTATACAACGACACCAGTAGCAGTGTTGGTAAGTAGCTCCACCACTTAATGGCTCTGTCTCCATGAACAAGTCACTTGACTTCTCTTCATCTCAGTTTCCCTTACTGTAAAATGGGAATAACCCTTGCAGGGTTATTGTAGGGATCAGGTGGAATAATATATTGTTATTGTTGTTAAGTGCTGTCAAGTCGATTCTGACTCATAGCGACCCTATATAGAGTTTCCAAGGAGCAGCTGGTGAGCTTGAACCGCCGACCTTACAATCTTTGCAGTCTGGCACATTAACCCACAGCACCACACCAGGACTCATGCCCCTTATTTCCTGACTCAGGAGCTCGGCCAGTCAGCCCAGACCCACTTTTGGCCCCACAGGATGGGCCTACCTGTGAATAGCTGATCAGTGAGGTATTTGTGCTCCCGGCGCAAGTACTCTGCCAATCCAGCCAGCTCTTCAGAGACGCCCCGGGAGACCACACTGAATAGCCGGTCACGATTAAATCTGTTCGGGTCTGGCTTTCTGTTGGGGGAGGTGGCTTGTGAGTCATGCTGGAGAAGAGCCTCCATTCCCTGCCAGGCCCAGGAACCCTCGGAGAGGCTATTCCGGGGCCTCTGCCCTCCTTAGGCAGACCACGAAGACCAAGGTGGCCAGGGTATTAACTGGAAGCATTCCCAGGAATCCAGTTTTAACACAGGTATTTCAGCATCAGGTGCTTCTCACAAGAAACTCAGTTAACTTCAATAGAGAATAATTGTTATCAGGACTGCTTGTGAGGGTTGGAAATGTAAATGTAGACGTTTTGTAGCAAGGAGGGGAGTGATTAACTTTTCAGTCTAGGAGCGGAGGTCCCTGGGACCATCAGGGAAGAAGAGCGGAGAGCGGGGCCCTACCCAGAGAAGCAGTGATGCCAGAGATGGAGGCAGAGATGATGACCGTGGGGAGATGGAGCAATTGGGGACTTTAGACCCAGAGAGGGAGAGGGGCTGATGCATGGAGGGGATTGTAACCATAGCAATGAAAGGATATACGATAGGATGAATGTAAAACTAATGTTCTCCCATGTAAACTATCACATAATTCACAATAAAACATTAAAAAAAAGAAGAAAGAAAGAAACTCAGTATCTTACTTTACAAGCAAGGAGTCTATTTCAGTAGAGGTAACTTTCAGCAGCTCTTGAGCTGGGTTTGGGCCTGCACAATGTCACAAACTAAGAGGAGTTGTGTGCTCCACTGGCCTCAAAAAAGAGAATCAAGTCCCTCCTCTCCTCAGAAACCACCTACTGACTAACTAACTACATGGAGAAATTTGCATCTTTAACACTCTCTGCAGCCTTAGGGATTAAAAGTCACTATTTACACAAACAAGGAGGTAAGGAAATTTACACAGGTGGTAGTTGATGCAGAACTGGAGTTCTGACACACAAACCAAACCCAATCTACTGCCATCGAGTCAATTCCGAGTCATATCAACCCTACAAGACAGAGCAAACTGTTCCTTAGGCTTTCTGAGACTGTGAATCTTTCCGGGAGCAGACAGCCTCCTCTTTCTCCTTTGTGGTAAGCAGCCCAATGCTTAATCCACTGCACCATCATGGCAGTCTAACTCTAGACCTTGACTCTTAACCCCCTGGGATTCTAAGGTGGGTAATAAGAGGTTTCCCAGAGTCTTAGTGTAACAGGTGTGCCCAGAACAGACTCACCAGAATTTTACTAAGAAATCTCTTCCACAGATCTTGAATGGGGCCTTACAGCTCATCAAAATGAGCAGTGTTCCAGGGAGGGGGAGTGGTATGGAGCACTGCCTTCTGGGTAAAGTCACTATTCACAGGAAGCAAGCTTGTTCCTGGAACTCCTGACCAGCCATGAAGGGATGAAGGAAGGGCAGGGCAATGAATGCTGGGGGGGGGGGGTGTGAGCCCTCAACATCTCTCTGGAATGTACCAGTTAGGTGCAACCACCTCACAGATCTCGGGGCCACAACATGACCATGAAGGCTCTGTGGCTGACTCAAGCCCCCGTGGGGAGTTGGGCCAGAGGAAGTAGGCCATTTGGACAAAGCACTTTCACCCACCAGGATGGCATCATGGTCCGGGGATAAGGAAGTTCTGTGAGGACACAGATGGAGACATTGAAGGGCAGGCTATATTCATACAGGTCTTAGAAATCATATTTCCACCCTGGGGCTGAAATGAGCCACCATCCTAAATAGTATGGGGGGCTCTTGCTATGCGAGGCCAAGGCTGGTGCCATGTCTCAGGCATGAGGGGGGAACAAAGGGACTTCTCTGGCAGTCTTGCCTTATATGGCAGCCCTTTTGCTGGTGAGGATGAAAGACACGCAGTCTCTCCACTGGACCGGAAACAAGATTCGATCCATATAGGTGGAGAGACCACCAGGAAAGTCAAGGAATGACTTTCTAGCAGAATCCACTGTTCTCAATCTCCCAAGTTCAGATTCCCTGGGGGAACACTCAATCTTGGAGTAGAACCAAGAAATGCCTTAAAAAAATTATCAGATGTCCTTGATTTTTTCCCAAGACTGGAATGTGGATCCTGCTACCAGCCTCCACTGGGAAGGGGAGTGGACACAAACAAGGGGAGGCGAAGGGCACCAGGAAGAGTGTGTCCCTACCAAATAGAGCAAGACCTCAGAGGGCAGAAGGTCAAGAATGGGGAAACTTCCAGAAGGAGCAATCCCAGAGAGTAGAGCAGAATTCAGCCTGTTGGACTCAAGAGTCAGGACTATGTTGGAGGAGAGTGGCTCCCCGCCCCTCCCCCCATCCCATCCCCTTCCTTACCTGACAAGTTTTCTGTAGTTAGTAACCACTTTGATCTGAGGGGGGAAGTTCTTGTCCTCAGGCTGGAAGGGTGATTCCATGGGGGGTGGCCCATCCCCAAGGCCCAGATTTCCTCTGTCCTCCTTGGTGTCATCTTCCTGGTCATCATCTGCAGTCTCAAGCCTGAAAGGAGGCGGGCTGGAGGACGACGTCATCCTATGGGGAACTGGCTGTTCTGTCCAGCTCCAAACCTCTGTAAAAACACAGATGTCAGGAGAGCTGTCGGGTTCTTGGTCCCAGGCTGGGTTGAAGTAGAAGATCTGGCTAGGGCTTAGGAGATGCTAAGAAGCTGAGTAGTACAAGAAGACACACCCATGGTCAGGAGAAGAGAGAAGGTAGAGGGTGCGGACAGAAAGGTTGGTCCCACATCTTGGAACAGATTAAGGAAGGGGACTCAAAAGGGTTGCCTTCTCTAATGTTGTCCACAAAAGGGCCTGAAGCCATCAAATTCAAATCAAGCCTCAGCCTTTCCCTCTGGGACTTCCTAAAATCTGAGGAGCCATAGCCCCTGGTTCTGAGGGGAACAAACTTTTGCACTATCAACAGAACCCATTCTCAACCAACCTTTTGCTCAGAAGCCAATACTCACAACAGATAAAAGTACTGTTAGTTGCTGGAGTAGGGGCCCCTCAGTCTCTGGAGGGCTCAGGCGGAAACTGCTGGAAAACCGCTGGTCGAGTTAAACGCCTCACTGCCAAGACAACTAAGGTTCTGAAAGTGGAAGTGATTTTCCCAAGGTCACTCAGCTGTTGGGAGAGCTTGGTCTAAAACCACCTTACTCTACCATGATGTTCTTCAGTTCTCAAAATCCTTCAGGGCAGGGTTTGTATTTTCAGTCTGAATCATCTCTGAAGGCATCCAATGCCCCCTCCTGTCTATGCCTCAGGCTCTCTAGGGTCTTTAGAGTGGGAAGGGAGTCCCTCGCTGGCTGCCCCAAGCTGTCTGCTAGGTAGTCCCTGGCTGGGCCCTAGACTGGGCTCTGCTGGCAGCACACTCTCACGCTCACAGGAAAACTGAAACCACAGCTACCATCACAAGGCCTGGGAGGATGGAAATCGTCTGGGGGAAGGGCATAACCCCTGCGCCCCTCGGAGGGTTGGAGCAGAAGGAAAAGAGTCAGAGGTGGGTGGGGAGAAGACCTGGCCCAGCTCCAGGCTCTCCCAGACCCCCAGGGACCAACATGGGGCATTTTCCCACAGAAGCATGTGAGGCCAGGACCTGATGGCTGTCTTGACTTGCAGATGTGACCCACCATCTTCCTGCCTGCAATGGGTGTCTTCTACGCTAGAGACGTAGTTAAGTCCCCAGTCCCTCACGCCTTTCTGCTCAGCTCTCTAGTCCACCACTCCCAAACCCAAGCAGCAATAGTTGTCAGGCCAGCCCCTACTGCATCTCTAGGACCCCACCCACGTTGGCAGCGGAGGAAGCAGAAGCCCACATAGACTTTCTCAGGCGTGGCGCTTGGGAACCGGAGCTCCGGGGCTCGCCTCCCCATCCTTCACTGTCAGGTTGGGGGCCCTCAGGCTACCTCTGCTAGCCCACGGACTCACCCACACAGCAGAGGCCAGGGCGTGGCGAGCAGCGCGCAGGATCCCCGTGCCTCCTAGCGAGCAACCGGCGGCTGGAGGAAGTGGGATGGGAGGCGGCGCGCTGACAGCCTACAAATCGCAGGAACCTCCTTTGCTTCGCTAGTTGCGATCTGTCATCGTCATCCCTGCCCTCACCCTATCTGGCCTAACCGGCACGGTGCGGACTAAGGCTTCAGTTCTCTCCTGCCTGGCCAGGCTGCCCACCAGAGATTGACCAGCTGGACCATGGCCCCACCCCGCTCTGAGGAGATACGCCCCTCCCTTCCCCCCTCTTTCTCACCACTGAGACATCAGTGTAGAAGTGGATGGGAGCAACCATAGGTGTATCTTGGGTGCTAAGGTCTGGCCAAGGTGGGGGATTCCTGCTCCACCACACTGATGTCTACTCCACATCCTCCTCTGGGGAATATATACCTCCAAGCAACCATGGAGCTGAGATTAGGTCACCATCAAGCGGCAGAGAGTTGATGTGGGATATCCCCGGTAGAGGAGAGGCCCAGATTAACATATGCTCCCATAACTAGCGCACCCACCCACCCAGCAGTTTGGGGAACTTCCTCACTTTCGTGACTTTATCCCGGCCTCCTCTCCAGAGACCCTGACAGTTCTTCTAGTTAATGGCACTTCCAGAACCAGCCAGTAGATGGTGCCAGGGAGGCTAAAATTGACCTCTCAGCGCTCGCCTTACTGGCTCCTTGGTTAAAATGCTTGGGGCAGTTAACCCAAACAACAGTGGTGCAGTGGTGAAGTGCTTGAGTGCTAACCAAAAGCTTGGCAATTCAAACCCACCAGACAGTCCTGGGAGAAAGAGGTGGCAGTCTACTTCTGTAAAGATTACAACCTTGCAACTGCAGTCTTAAAAGCATGACTTGTGCTCTTCCAGTAAGTGGCCTGAGGTAATCTCACAAAATGGTTCCCTACTCACTTGATCCAGAAAACTCCACAAAATCATGCAAACCAAGAGTTTCAAATCTCTGGGTCATTTTAAGATCATGTCTGTTAGACTGCCCAGGCCATTAAGGGTATGCATGTCCAAAAACCACCAAGTAGCTTAAGGATGCCGCTTTGCAGACGTAATGCATGCCATTCCAACGTTACAATGGTGGCGTTGGTAGGTGTGTCCAGGCCAAACAGTGGAGTTGGACACAGGGTCGATGGCCCAAAAAGAGCGCTGAATTTTTGCTTGTAGCAAAAATGCAAGCAATTTTACATGCTTAAAAATGCAGAGAGCAATGCTGAGCTAGGGTTCATTGAGCACATTCAGGTCAACAAAGCCCCCAAGATGCACCTGCTGAATTTACTGAACTCATTCATGGTCCAATCAACCCCTACATGAGCTCCCCCTGCCACAATGAGATGATCCTCACTGAAAAGGAGCAAATTGTTCCTAAACCAGAGAGGAGGCTGCATAGAAAAAACAAAAACTTATGGCTTGGAAGTAAATTAAGCTTAAAATAAAATGCAAATAAAAATTTTTAAAAGCTTGTGAGTTGCAACCCCCTTCCAAGACTAAGACTCTAGGGGAATGCAAGAGCAGACATGTGCTCTGACTGGTGACCACGTTGGTCACCGATAAGGGGAAGTAAGGGAAAAACAGCAATGAAGCTGTGAGCTAAGTCCAACCATGTTCACCAGACTCCTGTGAACCCGGGTAGAGACCTGGTTGGCCAGCAATATGGCAAGACCTGGGGA